ATATATATATATATATATTATCATTATTATTGACAAATTAGGCTATGTCATAGTCAATAATATGTGGTAAGATGATATTATTAAATTTGCTTATTAATTATTATTCAAGTTATAATAAATAATATTATTACTTATACTTAACACCCACAAAATAGTTTATCCAGTAATGTGGCGTGAAATTTATAACTGTTTATTCTTGTACTCACCATAAAATTTATCAAATAATGTGGAGCATTTTTTACTCGTTTTGTTATATTCACGAAAATGTTCATCAAATAAGCAGAAAAATCTTTAAGGTAATATACATGATTAATTAGAATTTTATGATCATAAATAATTAATTATCAAATATTATAACATTAAATTTGGTTCCAACGGCTACTTAACGGCTATATTGCAACGGCTATTTACCAATATCTATATATAACACTACAATTCATTTTCATAATCCAAACACTCAAAATATATTTTTTTAAGAAAAAAAATATTTAATCCATTAGTTATAATTACCATTATATTGTTTATTATGTATGCTTTAGTAATATTCGCGATGTTGTATTATTATGCCGGATTTATATTTTATGTATTGGGGCTTTGTATAATGTGTTTAGTATTTGCTCTATTGTACGTCTTGAAGAATTAATGATTGTGTATGTAATTTTTTGAATCTAAGCATTGATGTTTTATTTTATAGTTATCATGGCAAATCTGGTCAAACTCGAATTTGAAGCTCTCGATATATCTGGGAAAAATTATATTTCATGGACTTTGGATGCCGAAATTCATTTGGCGGCAAGGGGATTAGAAAAAAACAATAATCTCCCCAAATGATTCATCAATTCAGGATAAAGCTAAAGCAATGATATTTCTGAGGCATCATTTGAATGAGGCATTGAAAAATGAATATTTAACTGTAAAAGATCCTGCAGATCTTTGGAAAACCTTGAAAGAAAGGTATGATCACCAGAAAACGGGGATTCTCCCCCGTTCTCGTTATGAATGGATGCATTTACGCTTCCAAGATTTAAAAATTGTAAACGAGTACAATTCAGCCATGTTCCGCATTGCTCGATATTGAAATTATGTGGAGAAAACATAACTGATTACGATATGCTGGAAAAAACGTTGTCTACGTTCCACGCTTCAAATGTACTTTTGCAGCAACAATACATATCAAAAAGCTTTGTGAAATATTCTGAGTTAATTTCTTGTTTGCTGCTGCCTGAACAAAATAATGAGTTGTTGATGAAAAATCATGAATCTAGACCCACGGGGTCTACTGTGGTCCCTGAAATAAATGTTGTAATATCTAAACAGAGAATCGGAACTGAAAAAAGCCAAACATATGTGCGTGGATATACCTCGAGACGTGGCCGGGGTCGTGGACGTGGACGTGGTTGTGGCCGTGGATATGGTCCAGATCGTCGATTTGACTAAGTCCACAAATTTCACCGAGGATATAACTCGGGCCGGGGATGTAATCGTGGGCGAGGCCGTAACTATGCCCAAAATTATGAAAGATGGAGAAATTTCCAGCCAAAATTTGAACAAAATAATGTGACGAAGAATAATGATGAAAATGCATGTTATCGATATGGAAGAACGGGACATTGAGCGCGAAATTGTCGTGCTCCGAGACAAGTTGTTGATAATTATAACAATTCCCAGAAATCAAAAGATAAGAATATAGAAACCAATTTTATGATTGGGGAATCTTCTAAAAATGATGCAACACGTGTGGATGATGAATATGGCATCGATGACATATTGAACATGGATTTTGCTGATGCGGTAGGTGAAGACAGAGCTGGAAATGACCACGAGAATAACTGATGATCATGTTTTTTTTTACTGCTTTCTAAGTTTGTTGTATTTGTATGTTTTTATCTGTATTTCGATTTTAATCAAATAATAAATGTTGTTTTTCTTTTAGATCATGGATCGATCTCGAATCCAAAATAGAGATATAGGTCTTGCAGATTGTACCACTACTCTTACTATACTCAATGACAGAAAATATTTCGTCAACTTGAAATTAAATAAAGCAAAAGTAAACACAATATCCATAAATGCAAAGATAATTGAGGGTTCTGGAAAGGCCATATTTTTTATGATGGGAGGTACAAAATTTACATTGAATGATGCATTATTCTCCCCAAAATCAACAAGAAACTTGTTGAGTTTTAAAGATATCCGACTAAACGGATACCGTGTTGAAACAATGAATAAAGGGGGAGTTGAATATCTTTGCATTACCTCAAATATTGCGGGAAATAAATGTGTTTTGGAGAATTTACCAGCTTTATCCTCGGGCTTATATTAGACCCGCATTTATATTATTGAGACTTATGTTGCAACAAAGTCACAGGCGAATGAAATGTTTAAACTTTGGCATGATCGACTTGGTCATCCTGGCTCGATAATGATGCAAAAAATTATTGAAAATTCTAGTGAGCATCCATTAAAAAATCAGAGGATACTGCAAACACATGAAATAACATGTGCCTCATGTTCTCAAGGGAAATTGATAATAAGACCATCACATACTAAAGTCGGACATGAATCACCATTATTTTTGGAAATGATTCATGGTGATATATGTGGACCTATTCATCCACCTTGTGGTCCATTCAGATATTTTATGGTGTTAATTGATGCCTCTAGTAGATGGTCTCATGTGAGTTTGTTATCCACTAGAAATGTGGCATTTGCTAAATTACTTGCCCAACTTATAAAATTAAGGGCTCAATTCCCAGATTAATGATTATATTATCAAAAGAGTCAGACTTGACAATGCTGGAGAGTTCACACTCAAAATGGTCTAGCAGAATCATTGATTAAACGACTGCAGCTTATAGCCAGACCATTGATAATGAGGACAATAGGGGACATGTTATTCTGCATGCAAATAATCTAATTCGCATAAGACCAAGTGCACACCATACATACTCGCCATTACAGTTGGCATCTGGTCGAGAACCAAATATTTCCCATATAAGAATTTTTGGTTGTGCAGTATATGTACCAATTGCTTCGCCCCAACGTACAAAAATGGGGCCTTAAAGAAGGTTGGAAATATATGTTGGATATGAATCTTCATCAATAATCAAATACCTTGAGCCAAAAACATGTGACGTTTTTACAGCTCGGTTTGATGATTGTCATTTTAATGAAGAATTATTTCCCCCTTTAGGTGGGAATGAAAATTCAATTGAGAAAAATATTGAATGGAGAACATCATCACTATCCTATGTTGATCCTCCCACCAAACAAAGAGAGCAAGAAGTTCAAAAGATCATACATCTGCAGAATATTGCAAATCAACTGCCAGATGCATTTACTGACACAAAAAGGGTGACAAAATCAAATGTTGCAGCTATAAATGCCCCTGCTCGAGTTGAGATTAAAAGAAATGGCTAATGACGATGTGCCAAATGAATTAAAGACACGCTTGAAACAAGGAAGACCAGTAGGGTCTAAAGAAAAGAATCCTCGAAAGAAAAGAGAAATTCAAGATTCGAATTTGAAAAAGAATCAAGATGATGGAAAAATTTCGGAACGAAATGAAAATATTGAAATCTCCATCAATTACGTAAATAATGGGAAAATTTGGAAGCGCGATGAGATCATTGATGATGCATTTGCATATATGGTATCACAAGAAATTGATAAAGAAGTTGAGGATCCTGAACCAAAGTCTATGATTGAATGTCAGAAAAGACATGATTGGGAGAAGTAGAAAGGTGCTATTCAAGCCGAGTTAAATTCACTTAATAAACGAAAAGTTTTTGGACCTATAACCATTATACCCAAAGACATAAAACCTAATGGGTACAGATGGGTTTTTGTCAGAAAAAGAAATGAGAAAAATGAGATCACAAGATATAAAGCTCGCCTTGTAGCACAGGGATTCTCCCAGAGGCCTGGGATCGATTATGATGAAACATATTCCCCTGTTATGGATGCGATTACTTTCAGATACTTGATTAGTTTGGCCATCCATGAAAATCTTGAGATGCGTCTTATGGATGTTGTGAGTGCTTACTTATATGGATCGCTAGACGCTGATATTTATATGAAAATTCCAGAAGGAATTAGAATACTCGAGGCGCTAAAGTCCAAATCTAAAGAGTTATGTGCGATAAAACTGCAAAGATCATTGTATGGTTTGAAACAATCCGAGCGTATGTGGTACAATTGTTTGAGTGAACAATTACTTAAACGGGGATACATAAATAATCAAATATGCTCGTGTGTTTTTAAAAAAAGATCACAAGATGGAGTTGTGATAACTGATGTCTATGTCGATGATCTTAATATTATTGGGACTACAAATGAAATCCAAGAACCTGTCACTTTACTGAAAGGCAAGTTTGAAATGAAAGATCTCGGACAGACCAAATATTATCTCGGCTTGCAAATAGAATGAGTCCAAAATAGTATATTTGTCCATCAATCTAATTACACTAAAAGAATATTGAAATGATTCAATATGGACAAGGAAAATCCACTTAGTACCCCAATGGTCAATCGAACATTAGATGTTGAAAAGGATCCATTTCGACCTTGTGAAGAAGATGAAGAAATACTTGGTCCTGAAATATCATATATGAGTGCAATAGGAGCTCTTATGTACTTGAAAATTGCACCAGACCAGATATATCTTTTGCTACCAACTTGTTAGCGAGATATAACTCGGCACCTACGAGGAGACATTGGAATGGAATCAAGCATATATTCCGTTATCTCCAAGGGACAATCGATTTGGGATTGTTTTACTCTAATGATAAAAAACATAAAATAATCGGTTTTGCAGATGCAGGATATCTATCAGACCCCCATAAAGCAAGATCTCAAACTGGTTACGTTTTCACGATTGGTGGAACTGCATTTTCTTGACGCTCCCAGAAACAAACATTAGTTGCGACGTCTTCAAACCATACTGAGATCATTTCACTTCATGAAGCAACTAGGGAAAGCATCTGACTCAGAAACATGACTCAACATATTCAACAAGCCAGTGGACTATCGAACATTAATGACCCGACGGTGATATACGAAGACAATGCAGCATGCGTCGCTCAAACCAAAGAAGGACACATTAAGAGTGACAGAACTAAACATATCCCGCCAAAGTTCTTCTCGTATGCTCAAGAGCTTGAAAGAAACAAACAAATCAAAGTTCAATATATTCAATCAAGCGATAATGCAACAGATCTGTTTACGAAGGCGCTTCCAACGACAATGTTCCGAAAGCACGTACACAATATTGGGATGAGACATCATCGGGATTTGTACAGATGATAACTCAAGGGGAGTATGTGCGGTTGTACTCTTTTTTCCTTATGTCGGTTTTTCTCCCACAGAGTTTTTCCAGATAAGGTTTTTAACGAGACAGTATAAACGCACATTTAACAGT